CAACTTATAAAATCTCCTTTCTGGAAGAGCCTATTTATTCAATTAGACTGTAATCAGAATTCTGCATCTCGTGTAATTGAAGGGTGGAAGGGGTTGTCATTTTGTTTTGTTTTTGGGGGGTTCTTTAAAAGGGGAGGGGGAGATGTCAGTAAAAAATAGCAGGCGTAAATACCGTTTTGTAAGAAAATAATACACACACAAATAAAGAAAAGTTCACATGCATAGACACACAGGCAAGTTTAGGTTAACCACAACAATATGCTCATATAATATGTACATGCGAGGAGGATGTTGATAAATTCTAAACTTTAAAAGCGTCTTGATGTCAGTGCTACATTGACGTCAGTTAGAGATTTTCAGGGTATCATTTAAAGCAATTGAAGCTTTTGACGTTCTATTTTGTGTGTGTGCGCATGTGAGTTTAGATGTGTGTGTGTATGTGTGTGTGTGTGTGTGTGTGTGTGTGTGTGTGTGTGTGTGTGTGTGTGTGCATGTTTTTTTAAGTGTGTGACTGTGTGTGTGGGCGTGCAAAATGCGTCCATTTTCTGCAAATAGAGCGGTATTATTAATGCGCTATGCATGCAAATCTTCTTCAAGCTGGATTCGACGATATATATAATGCAAAGGCATATCTCCTAGCTTTAGTGTTAGGAACAGCGTTCGAAACACAGAGATGGCTCTGGACGTAACGTATTATTGACAATACGAGCTTAGATTCTTTAGATTTCAACAGCTTATGACATCAAGGCATCGCGTATGATCACAATACATCACACCTTTAGCATATTTCGAAGCAATAATATAATCCCAGTGCGGATGGTGGCGTTGTGGTTGTTTATTTGCCGCCATGGTGTATTAGATCTTCCTTTCTTTTGCACTTAGCAATGTGTTACTTTCAACCCTGCTCTATCCCTGTCCAACTTATATAAAAATCGAAGCACAAAGGCAACCCGAGTGGCATGTTTTTTTAGTCTAGGAAGGGTGGGGGGGGGGGAGATCATTAAAAGGTGAAAGGTTAACGCAAAATGTCTATGGGATTAAAAGTTCACTATTGTGCATACAGAAAAAAAACAGTGAGGGTTTAGGCACCACATAACTATCTACGACACCGACTCACCATCTGAAGCCAGATGTTAGTATGAATAATCTGGTTCTTCTCGTCCTGTTGATTAAACACAAGAAAGAAAACAACGGCATGCGGATTAATGGGAGAAAATGCCAACCTACGGGTTAGTCATTTGGGAAGAAAAGAATGCGGAAGGCAATATATTATATATATATATATATATATATATATATATATATATATATATATATATATACTGAACGCCAATAAAAACACAACGTTTTCAAAATGTTATTAAAAAACCAAATATGCTCTGATCGTCAAGATATTTGGAGACACAAATGAGTAGTTGTTAGTCCACATGCCCACGTACGATTTTTGCTATTTCCATGAGTACTTTTCATCACAATACAGTAAACTATGCTTTAGTAAAATGTGTTCATTAGTTGCTATAATATTATAAAAGAATGGAAGATGACCCGTGGCGAATTCCAAACAAAAGTCCCAGCTTTATTTCGATCAATTCTTTTTATTTCTTTCATTGCAAGACTCCTCAACTTAGCGCAACTTTCACTTCCGCCTTGTTCGTGGCGGAAAATATGCTTGAGAGGCAGCAATACAGCTAAAATACAGTGCTTGTATTGATCTCGACTTAAACAAAGATTTTAGCACACTTGAAATGTTCGGGATAGGCAAAGAATAGGAGTGATCAGCCATGTTCAGAAGAGGCAGATCTTGCTGTCGCATCTGCGAAATCGTTTCGTTTCTCAAAGGTAGCAGCTCCAGGCATGCATGGGGTGAGTGAAAATATTTCTTTCATCAATATGAGGCGCAGAGCAGTAAATACAGGACGTAGATGAAGAACGCCTTATTAACGAGTTAACGAAGCCGCAACAATAGCGCCGTCTTCTCAGTGCCAAACAGCACAAAGAAAAAATCAGAATCTCTCAGCCATCCAACACGACACTCCTGTCCTTACACTGCTATTTAACAAACAACACAGTTTCTGGAAGATCATAATATGAATGTCATGGACTGGCCAGTGTACGTACCCGACATGTCTCCAACAGCGCACGTATGGGATGAACTGAACCGCAAAGTGTGTGCCGATTTGCGAATCTGCAGCTATTGGAAGATCGCGCTGCCGCGAAAGCGGGACAGAATTTCTCAACAAAACATTGAAAATGCTATAAAATCCATGTGAAGAAGTGTTTTAGTTTGTTTAAATGTTAATGATGGCCTTTCAATTTACAAAGAGTAAGAGATCTTTATTGAGCTTCGATTTGAGTTTATCGCCAAAATTGTCTTAAGGGGGTACGCCGTGAGAAGGAGGACAATGTATCGAAAACATTTACGTGTGTGATCAAAATGGTTCATATTTGTTGGAAATTGAATAAACTTCAAAAAACACTTCTTTTAATCTACATTCATTTGACGTGTTCAGACTATGCGAACGAAGTGTTGCGTTTTTAATGACGTTCAGTGTATATTATATATATATATATATGGGTGTGAGCTAAGAAGGTACAGGCTTCTCACAGCGATAACAGACCTTCAAGAAAAAAAGAAACAACAGGTCCCAAAAATATGCTTATTCATGATGTTACCTCATAGAAGGACCTGATGGTTTCCCAAATGACACAGACAAACGGATATAACAATGAAAACTGTCATTATTTTTCTCCATCCATCATTAAATTCGCTCTCTTCCTTTCCAGGTTCCAAAGTACGTTCAAACAGTAAATGAACACAGTACTTTTGAAACGTTCCAAGAGGAATTTTTTTAAGTTACAGCGCTTTTTCAACAGGTGAGGAAAAACATTTGCGTTCAAAACGAGGAACTGTTACAGACACCAGGCCAAAAAGGCAGTACCGATAGAAAAAACACTCTGAAGAAGCCAGTACTCAGAGATTGAACTCTCAGTGCACACTGAAAAGACTGAAGCTAGACAAGCAAACTGACAACGAACTTGAAAAAACAGGGACAAGGCTGGAGAGTTTTGTTTTGTTTTTGTTGTTGTTGTTTGTTGTTGTTTTTTTGTGAGTGTGAAGAAGAATCTTAAACCAACGAAATGCGAACGGCCTTTGTTCCAATTTGGAGATGTTTCATGTCAAACTGAGAACACTGTAACAAAAACAACCTGAAATCTGATTTACTACTGATGATCTGGAAGCAAAAGTCAGTATCTGAATAATTTAGATGTACGTTATGTGCCTGCATGGGTATACCAGTTATAAACGTCTTATTATAGCGTTCCTGAGTACCTACAGCTTTCGTTTTACCCTTCCGGTTTAAAGGTGACTGACAGAACAAGTTACAGGTGAGACTGAAAAAATTCTTTCTAACTTTTCAAGCATCGACAACCTATTTTTCATGACATCAGTTTGTCATAAATGACGAATATCTCATCATCTACATCATTACACACTCCCATCTTTCTCCCTGTTCACGAGATTACTCAAAACGACCACCTTTTTACACAACAAAGGGGAAATCTAATACGGGGTTTCAGAAATGTTGTGTCATCGACTAACTCATGCTCATGCTGTTAGAATTTGAAACGAGTTTCATTCCTCCTTATGAGTGAGTGGACAGCGCCAGCAAAACGTGCATAGTTTCAAACATTTTGACGCCAAAGACAAGGTCTTACCATCCTGAGCCACATAGACGACAGGATATTTTCACTCCTCTCGTCCTGAAAGATGGTTTAGACATGTGCATAAAATATTAATAGCTGGTGCTGATATTGCTGTAAAAAGGTATAGTTCACTGAAACTCCAGTTGTATAATATTGTTATCACCTCTACCCTTATAAGCAACCACGTAGCAATTTAATAGTGAACATTAAATGAACGAACAGGACGCATAATATAGCGAGCAACAAAGGCAGACAGACAGATAGACAGAAAGACAGACAGGGAGTGGGAGAGAGAGAAATGAGTGGGAAAAGGGAAAGAGGGGTTCCTGTTCTTCCATTGATGTGATGAAACAACAATATTTCGCTAAATGAACAGGACAAAACATTCCAAGTATTCAAACGAGATACGTCGTAGTTACATCCACAAGGTCGTAAAATTGCACGGGGCGTTAGAGTATTGATGTGCCTTATTACCTCCGTCCATCGACCTCGTCCATAGAATCCTAACGTTGCCTAGAACTGCGATTCTTTTATTTCCCATAATTCATTTCAGTGACCTCGCTCTGTCTCTCTGCCTGTCTGTCTGTCTGTCTGTCTGTCTGTCTCTCTCTCTCTCTCTCTCTCTCTCTCTCTCTCTCTCTCTCTCTCTCTCTTTCTCTCTCTCTCAAATATTTCATCTTGTTACATCCTCTCTTACTGTGTAACCCATATACAACATAGCTCGCACGCATCGACAAAACCTAATTTTCCAACAGACGATCACATTTCTCCCTCAGGCTTGTTGCTAGGTCATATTGTTGTAAACTGGGACAATAAAGTATCATCTTATCTTATGTTATCTTATCTCATCTTATCTTACCTCAATCCACTGAGGCTGCTCTTAATTTATCGTGATTTTGACACTAGAGTGTGTATGAACACAAGCGGAAAGGAGTAAGCTCGAGGTAGGATTGAATCGTTAGTGGATTTTTACAAGAAACGAGTGTGTGCAAGGGGTGGGGGATCTGAAAGTAAACAGCAGCCTGTTGACGCAGAATGATGATATGTTACGACTTTCAGAGAAACATTTTGCCTCCACTGCTTGTATATATTCGTTTTACCTGAGGGGGAGGGGTTCCATGTCAACTAGTTCCTTTATCTTTTTTCATTGCAAGGGGAAAATGGGGGGGGGGGTGAGAGCGGGAAGTGACAAAACTAAAAACCCATTTTATCAGCTGTAAGGACCTTTTAAGCTAAAATAGCGGCTACCTCATAGCAAAAAAGGACGATCAGGGCAAAACTGCGCCTGTATTGCCTGGTTCAGTATTCAGACAAGCTTATCGTGTAATATTTTCCTTAAAAAGAAGATATTGAGCTACAGCTACCTTTTCTTAATCTTGCACTGATGTAGACTGAACGTCACTTTACAATAGTAACAGAAGAAAGGTATTCCTATTTCTTGGTATCTCGTCATCACAGACATTGATGGTTCCCTTCCCTTATCGATGAATTTTTTAACCTTTATTTTAAAGACGTGGAGACTATCCACTTTTAATTTAATCGGAATATAATATCGAGTCAAATATTTTCTGCCACAGTGCCGCTCTGCCTTATTCAAGATAAAAACATATTGCTGGTGTACGTCTTGATAGTATAGTCTGCTGAAATGATGTTTCCTCGGGTGCCAATTGCCTAGTACATAGATGTAATGGAAATGCGGAAAAGCAACGCATTCTACGGATCTGAAGGACTTTACTTCCTAAATGGACCCTTCACTTTATTTGTATAGTTTCAAGAGCAATACGTAACCTTACGGCTAGAAGTTTTGCATGTTCCCCCCATGTCTTCAGAGCGTCAAAAACGCTGCTGAAAAAAAGACGATATTATAACATCAAAGAAAGAAAGCTTTTAAACCCTGAATTTGCAGTTTTACACTTTCTTTTAAAAATCTGGCATTTCATCGATTCTGACTTATTTTCCAGTCTGGTGGAAACACGGCGCCCCAGTGACATCGATCAAATTTCTAGAGAAAGAATTTCTACGCTACGTGTCTTGTCCTCTTTCTATCTTCATGAACCTTTAGAGCTTCCGTTTTTGCAATTTTGTTTTTGCTTTTTTAAATGTCTTTTTATTCTCCAAGTGTATCGAATGGCTTGCCGCATTTCTGATGCTGACCTCTTAGACATTATTAAAGATTGAGTTTAACATGACTCTCAGAAGACTAAGGTTCGAATCCAAGTAGGGTCCATAATATAATGATGTATCTGCCCTTCCTTGAAGGTTTCGCTTTTGCCTTGAAACTCGCCCCGGGAAAGGGGGGGCGGGGGTTTAGATTGCATGTTCTTCTAAAATAATAAGCAGCATTTATGAAAAGGGCATCGAACCGTTTTTCTATCTTATTTCGCTTGGTTTTACTTTTGAAACCGATATCTTGTATTATCGCATACGCTTTGTCTCCATTTCCATTATATTAAGGGT